CTGCTGGCTGGTGCACTCGGACTCCATTCTTTCCTCATCCCTGGTCTATCCCCACTAGTGTCTCTCTCTCTGTGGGCAGCTCATTCTTCTGCCCTCATAACATGCTGCATGAAAACGTAAGGCAAGAGAGTTTTAACCTAGAGAGGGACAGGAGGATATAAACTGGCAGTGAATACTAGCATCTTTTAAAAGCTTGTTAGCAATGTAGTTGTGCACTCGGACTCCATTCTTTCCTCATCCCTGGTCTATCCCCACTAGTGTCTCTCTCTCTGTGGGCAGCTCATTCTTCTGCCCTCATAACATGCTGCATGAAAACGTAAGGCAAGAGAGTTTTAACCTAGAGAGGGACAGGAGGATATAAACTGGCAGTGAATACTAGCATCTTTTAAAAGCTTGTTAGCAATGTAGTTGTGGTCATGTTGATCCCAGGATATGAGAGAGATAAGATAGGTGAAGTAATATCATTTACTGGACCAACTTCTGATGGTGGAAAGCACAAGCTTTCAAGCTTCACAGTGCTCTTCTTCAGGTTTTGGGAAAGTAACCAGAGTGTCTGAGCTAAATATAAGATGGGACAAATTGTTAAGCATTAGAGGTCCACAAAATTGTCTCGGGGGAGACCACTCAAAATAGAGTAGGCAATAAAAAATTAGCAGTGGGGTGTAGTAAAATTGTAAGAAGTCAAAAAGCTAGTGTGTTTGTTGAGTCCATGATTTTTGGTGACTAACAGAGTTATGAATTTAAGTTTCCAGACTTGCCTTTTGAAAATGTTGTCCGTGTTTCCTTTGAGGATGAGGACTGAAAGTGATCTCCTATACAGCAAATGTGAACAACTTATGATTACCTGTCTGTTCCAACTGTATAACACTCAGGTTACCAAATCCAGACTAGAAGAGGAGCTCTGTGAAGACTAAAAGCTTGTTTCTTCATCCAACAAAAACTAACGCAATAAAAGATACTACCTCATCTGCCTTGTCTCTCTTTTAAAACTGCTATTCTAAGTGCACTAATCAAACAGAACACAAGAAGCTGGATAAATCATAATGTCAGCTTTAGATAAAGCATTCTGTATCCCTATATCAGACAAGCATTTTCTAGTTATAATCAATCATTCTCTAACACAAATGTCCTAGAACTGCTATGGGGGTAACAATGAAACAATTTAACCTAGCGGTGCAGTAGTGATTTTGAAAATAGGTTAACTGTACCCTATAGATCTCATTCTAGCTCCATCTATACTGGTGACATTCACTTGGTTTGGATATAGACCTTTCACCTCCATAAAAAGGGCATAACTGAACTCTATGTAAACAATTCAGGTACCCTGAAAATATTTCCACCCAAAAGAAAAGAAACCACTAGCAGTTAATGAATGGAAAAATTAGCATGACCACCTTTTCCCCTTAATGTTATAACAGACATATTAGTACTGAAAACCTTTCCTTTCCTTGCAGTTACTAGAATAACAACAGAAGTGTCTTTTTCAAAGTAGCAACATATTTGTGTAGAGTACTGATGGATTAAAACAACTAGGTGACTGGGTGTTCCCTTTGTACCATTCTATCATGGATTTAGGGCAGTTCCTTCACTGAGTAACCTGATACATTTCCACTGAAATCTATGGTGTTCCACCAAATTATGCTAGCAGAGAATTCAGCTCATAATAAATATTTCACATTTTCCAAAACACTCCTCAGCAACAATGATTAGCACCACTGGCTTCTCCCAGGAGACAATAGCAATGTAGCCACTGACTCTAGATTTATGAAAAGTTATTATTTTATAAATTAACAAACTGATTAAAAAATATAACATTAAAATATACAAAATTCTCCTCTGGTTTATTACCATACCAAAAAAAGCCCTTTTATAGGTCAGCAGCACTAAGATACTAAATTTTGTGCTTTTAGTTAGAAGATATACGTAGCATGCCCAGCCTTGTCTTAGCTACTTGTCTTTTGCATAGAGACAGGTACGATCATGCATCTAGAGAAGGCTGGGATCCTTTATTTAGTCCCAGGCATTGAACAATTATTCAGGCCCTCCCTTTTCTTCCCTTTCAGACTCTATCCTCTCCTTTTGTAGAGGGATGGATATCCTGAATCAATGTAATAATGTTACACATCTGACATAGCCACCTCCATTGTGGCAGGGAAAAGGCTTTTAAATACGGTTTCCTATTTATCAGAAAATATGTGGCAATTTCTACTTCAAGTTCTCAAACAAAGCTTGATTAATACAGAAGAAAATCTTTATTGCCATAGTAGAAGCTGGATTAAAAGATGAATGTGCAGTGAACCTTTCTTTCTGGGCTCAGTCTTCTCTACCTCAGCTTTCTCAGAAAGGATATCCCCCAGAGCACAGGGAGGGATGATGGATAAAAATATCACAATACAGAAGGCAGCTAGTGAGGCAATGTAAGTCCTTATGGAATGCTTTGGTCCTATTCGTAGACGGTACACTGAAAAGCTAAGTTTTGATGTATTTTTCAAAACAAACTCCTAGGACTAACTGCTGGGGATTTTACTCATACAAAACACCCATTTAAATCAGTTGGAGTTTGCTGTAGTTGAAGCTAATTGAGGACCCTGGGAGTTGGCCCTACAGCATCACATATTTAATTACACGTTTAAAAAAAATGAATTGGCTTAAAGAACAAACTATGCTGAAACATGCAAATTCGACCTTTGCTTGATAAAAATAGAACTGCTGCGTGACCACAGATCTATCCACCTGAATATTTTAAATGTAATAATGAACTGAACACTGGCATCATTTTTACACTTCTTTCCCATCCATCTCCTTTTTATTGGCATAAAAAATGTGAAGCTTTTAAGAATGTGATTTGTTAACTACGAGATAAAACTAAACACCTCCCATTTGCATTTATTTTTGTTAAATACTAGTTTTATTAATTGTAACAGTAAATGTAGACATCCTGGTGTAACAGTTTGAATCAGGGAGATACACCTGATAGTGTCTAGTCCAAGCATGGCATGACTTTCCTCATTACACAAAAGCTACTTCCTTGACTGTGGTAATCTGGCAACAGCTTTATGTTCTGTGCTTTATAATTGCAATATCATCAGTGTATCTGATGCCCTGGGAGACATTCATTTGGTTTCCTCTCCAAATATTGGTCCCTAACTCCATGAAAACTGGAAGTGCTACACGTGGCAGCACATTGTATTTATTAATTACTAGCCAATTAGCCCATCATAAGACGGGATTTTCAGGTCTCTCCTCCACGTTGGTCTTCTCTCCTGAGCCTCTGGTCTCTCACTCCATGTCTCTTTCTTTTTCTCTTCTCCTCCAACTGCCTCCCTCCTCTCTCTCAGCTCTCCTCCGCCTTCTGTCTCTCTCTCTATCTCTTCCCCCTCCCCTGCCTCTCACTCTCTCTCCGCTCTTCTCTGTCTCCGTTGGGGATGCACACTCATCCAGGTCCCCCCTTTGCCTCCCGCCGCAGTGACTTCTGCGCCACTTAGCCGGGCCGCTGCGTGGGAGCAAGCAGCACAAACGGCCTCTCTCTCTCTTCTCCTCCTACTGCCTCACCCTCTCTCTTTCTCTCAGCGCTCATCTGCCTCCTGCCTCTCTCTCCATCTCCCTTTCTCTTCTTCCCCCCCTGCCTCTCACTCTGTTTCTGTTCTCCTCCTCCTGCTGCATCTCTCTCACTCTCTCTCTCTTGCTGTCCTCCGCCTCCTTCATTCTCCTCTCTGTTTCCTCCACGTCCTCTGTGTCTGCTCCGCTTTCTTCCTTTTGAATCCAGCGCCCTTTCCTGACATCAGAGACGCACGCTCATCCAGGCCCCACCCCCTGGCTGTTCCCTCTGGGTGGCGCTGTTGCCTCCCACCATGGTGCTCGGCTGACTTCAGCGCCACTCAGCCGGGCCACCACG